ATTATGTGTTTCAGCGAAATACACTAGGCAAAGTTTTTCACTAGAAAATCACAGTTGTATTTATTAATACTTTGTTCTTTAACTATCAGAGACCTAACTAGTCTATATATGCCCTAGTTTGCTAGTCTTTATTGATTTGTCAGCTAGTCTTCTCACGATGAATTGAGGATCAGCTTATTTTTTACTTTACATCACAAATGCCAATTCTATTCCAGAGTACAAGGTCGTTTCGACCTCGCAACGCATTCAGTATTTGAATCTTGCAAGTAGGCCTGATTAATTTAAATGTGCAACCTATCTTAATGAAATAGGCCTTTTGGGATACTATGACTATCAGTCAAATACATCCATTTGAAATGGGTACTCAAAAAAAACAGTTGATTTCCAGTCCACGACTAAAATATTTGTATTTTAGATAAAATAAATATATTTCAAATTCAAGATGCTCAAGCACTAATTAACGAGATCGGCACCTTCAACTAATTGTATGATGAGAAAAAAGCGTGCAATAATATGATACTTTGCCTATAAAGTTAGGGCCTCCTTTGAACATTCGTTAAGAAACAGTTGCTTCTTGTTCAAATACAGAACTGGTGTTTTAAGCTTGAGAAGATATAATCCGACATTGCTTATTACAAGAAAGTGGCTAGCATTAGAGGTTCCTAGTAAAAATGCAATTTATCGATTCGTCTATTACATTTTTTTGTATTTTTCATTTGCAACTGCTCTTTATGCTTTTCCAATTCAAATTCTGTACTTAATTGATCGAGATAGTTCAGGGAAAATGTCATATACTTTTCTTGACCAAATCTTCTTTTACTAAATAGCTGCCATTCTAGATGTATAAACTCTTGGGGGTCTCCGGATCTGATACGGAGATGATGTCGCCTTTTTTTACTGTATGCATCTTGAATATTACCGAGGTTTCGTGGTGAAAAGCCTCTAGTAGAACGAAGACATCTTGCTGGACTCCATCTGATATTAAAATTCATCGATTAGCAGATAATTGTCGCTCGTTTTGAACACATGTATTCATACATTTTGTTCTTTAAGGGCATCGTGGATTAATTGCGTTATTTCTTGTCTATTTGACTATGATTTTAATTTTCTGCTTCGATATTTACACTTCGATTGAATGCAAACATATTTCAGAAAAACTTTCAGTGGGAAAGTTTTAACTTTAGGCATCAACATATGAACAAACTAATATACTTAATTTTACTTAATTACTTAATTTTAATTTTTTACTTAATTTTAATTATTTCTTTTTGAATTAAAAAATTTGCTCCAAACCTTATTTTAAATTCTCACAATTGAAATGTAACCAAGTGAACATGTCTTATTTTTGAAAATATTTGAATTAATCTTTAATAGTTAATCGAAATAATTGAGGTTTTAAGTCGTTTAGATTTGCCAAAGATCTTAAGCGTCTTCTTTATCGATATCTGATATGCAAACTTGACTAATTTTGCTTATCTCTTATTCAGTTTATTCTTATATCTGCAACAATTTAGACATACTAACTTGCTTATATTAAACCTTTTAGCTGTTTTATGCGAATTCTCATTTAATAAGCATTACATCACACCAACGTTTTCATTATTTTTTATTAATTTTTATTTAATAGGGAATGCCCGTCACCAGAATGAGTCTCTCAAAGAAATGGGCGATTTAGCGTCAGGAATGGGAAGTTCTGTCGCCCAGACATACCTCAAAGATATCCTTGAATCATTCTTCTCCCCATATGTGACAACGCGTATGACGGCGCTTTCCGTCGTCACCACTATTTTGCGACAAGGCCTAATACACCCAGTACAGACAGTGCCCTATCTTATCGCGATGCAAACGGACGTGGACAACAACATTCGCCTTAAAGCGGATGCCCAGCTTCAAGAGATCGCACACAAATTTCCTGGTTTCATCAATGTACTTTGTTTAGTTTGTTATTTTCGCCAAAAATTTCTCCCACATTACTATCATTTTATTAGATAATTTTTACTTGGACTAATTTGCGTTCTTACTTGCATAGTCACGAAATATTACAAGTTCCGAGGACTTGTCAATTCCCGGAATGATCTCAATTTATGCATATATAATAAGCAATTCGTTATATTTACTGTATCCAATTTTAAATTATTAAGTGCATATATGACAGTCTTATATTATCTCCATAATCATTTAGCATGCCACTCAAATGCAGCTAGTCATTAAATTTCCTTTCTTTTTTTTTCTTATTTTATGCAATATGGTTATTCCTTCTTGCACTGCATCTTATGTTTCTCTTAGGCGAATCTTAATTATGCTTTCCTTTATGTACATTGATTTGATTCATAACTTCGGCCTTGTCTTGTCTATATTTAATCATCTCACTAGATGCGTGCCGTACAAGGCGTAGCACTCTCCTTTCGCCTCCAGTTCGTTCTCTATGACGAGACAGTCTGTAATGCCGCCGACCTGGCCAAGCGTGAGCGCGAAAATAGTGCTACAGCTGCTGCTGCACAACAACAACAGCAAGCACAGAACAATGCTTCTCACAATCAACAATCTGCTTCCAGCCAATCAACTCCTCAATCAACGCCTCTAAAGCACACCCCCAACCGGCCCAGACGGGCTGCCGCGGTTGCTGCTGCTGCTGCTGCCGCGGCCGCGGCCGCTGCGGCAGCACAAAATCAGAACGTAGAAGAGGAGGCCGAGCAACAAGAGGAAGATCATGAAGAAGGCAAGCGACGGACATCGATGTGTGGCTCTGCTGCTATCGCTGGTGGGAGCGGTTCTTGCTTATCGAATGGCAATTGTGCTATCGAAGTGGCTGTGAACAATTTTGGTGCTCTTCGGGGAAGTCGAGAGCCAAACTGCGATATTCCGAATGCCTTAAATGCTCAGCTTTATTCGTTACTTCGCGCCAACCGTGGCCAACGGCGATCCATGCTTAACGGGTTGCTTGCCATGTTCGATGATTCTCAGGTATGCTTTATAGATTCACATGTGCTATTTCCTTTATCGCTTTAAGAAGTCGCACTTGGTATTGCTGTTTTCATAATTGTAACACCTTAAATTTACAACTTATCCTCATATTTCGGGTAGGATCAGGTAAAACTAGTGAGAAAACCACTCATCAAGTCTTAGGGCATTTGACTGACAATTGGTGCGATATTTTAAAGATTTCTAGCTTGGCTTCCATTATTATTAGGCTCATAAACTTACAGGAC